AGCTCTGGTGCCACAATAAAATACAGTTCCCATGATTCCCTAGCACTGAGCCAGGGCAGTGCCTCAATTTAAAGTGCACTATTTCTGGCAGTCTGCAAAGGCCCTAAGTAAGTAACTTTATTCTTGTATCTCACCTTTTGCCTGTCAGGCAATCAAGGTGGCTAACAAACAGTTCCTCAGACACACCTAAAATGCATTGTAACATAGGACCTTATCCCACGGGGGTCTAAAGCGCACGCATCCCCATGCGATCGCGCTTCCATACCCCAGCTGATCAAACGACGTCGCAGGGAGGCCCCGCCCATCCCTGTAGCATCCCGGTCGCATCCCTGTGCGACCGCGCTTCCTGTCGCCGGCTGATCAAACGACGTCGCAGGGAGGCCCCGCCCATCCCCGTCGCATCCCGCTCGCATCCCTGTGCGACCGCGCTTCCTGTCGCTGGCTGATCAAACGACGTCACAGGTAAGCCGCTCGCATCCCCGTCCCAATGCAGCATGATGCTGCATCATCCAGGCATCATCCCCGCTCTTTTGAATGCCTGGTCGAAACGGGAATTACATTTCCCGCGACCAGAATGATGCTGGGATGATGCTGCTTTCTGGTCAAGGAAGCGCGATGGGACGGGGATCCGAGTGCTTCAGTCCCCGTGGGATAAGGTCCTTAGTAAAATAATTACCCCCTTTAAAATTAGATGTAATACCAATTAATTTAAAATGACTGGCGTATTCACCAGTAATTATAAAATCATCCATAAAACTTAAAAATCTAAACTTAAATTACACCACACAAAATCATCACTATCCACCAAGCAACACTGGGTAAATCAGAGAAGCCATTACCCTTGGTCCAGTCTTTTCCATGTATCCTTCTTTTAAGAAATTTCGTGTCAACCGGTTTCTTAGCTGAAACAAAAACAGTTTTTGATTTGTCAGCAAGTTCAGAAAGTCACCCCAATCCACTTGGGATAACCAAAAATCTAGATCCGCTAGGGGAATTGTCATTTCACAGATTATCAATATGTCTAATTACCAATCGAGGCAGACACAGAAAGAAACCACATTTGCACACCACAGCAAGCCATGGTGGGATAACATGAAATATGATTGGTTGTGATGTGTGAGCCTGTTTCTGCTACAAGTCCATTGGCGAGATACAAATTCCAATTTCAACCCATGATTTGTTGCTAATTTTTGAATGCTGGCTTCTTCAAATCATAGCTTATTGTGAAATTAAAATCCAAATCATGGCTTGTCCCTGGCTTCCTTCCCCAATTGCCGAGCCTGAAGCAGGGACTAACAAAATGGAAGGAGAGAATCAAACCAGAAATAAGGAAGACAAATCATGTTCATTTGGTCACCTTCTGGGCAATTCATGACCTAAGCAACAAACCATGATCAACACAAATCACAGTTTATCATGTTGTGTGATTATGTCCACCATGATTTCACCTTGATACAAAGATGGCCAAGAAACTGAATGCAATGAAATGTTATTAGCAAGCCATGAATGCATAATGTAGCCCTGGTAATATGCTATCCTGTTTCATAACTCTACTACCTCTTGGTCACTGGAAACAGGAAAAGCCACCTTCAGATAGTGGAACTGTACAGCACGGATTGCATTGAACCAGTCCACTATTTCCTATGAAAGGGAAACACAATATAAACAACAAATAAGTGACTGGCAGTTTGATCCAAAGGAAGTCCCCTTTAGTTGTCTAGAAATTCTCTTTTTGGCAAGTCTGCAGTGTGAATTTGAGCAACCCAACAGCACATAGAGGTCCATGCCTTTTGTAATTAAATTCTGATTAATTTCTGATAAATTCAGTAGCAGACATAGTTTGTCCCAGACTATGAGAAGTCACTTTTTTTGGACTATAACTTCTCCAAGTTGGCCAATGCTGGCTGTGGGACTGGAACAGTTGTAGTCCAAATAAATTTCCATGTTGTGCTTTGACCCTATGGACAACTCCCAGAGTCAGAACTGATAACAACCTGAAGAACATCCTACTCTACTGTTGTTCCAACCATGTGCTTATTTGCAGGCAATGCAAGGAACCTGGACTTTAATATTGCTATGTTATTGCACACACGTCTATGAAAGATGATTATAGGAAGCAAGTTCTTGCAACTACTCTTGCTTGTCTGGAGACATTCAGATAATAAGCAGGTGGGATCTAGCTTGCTTTCAAGGATGCCCTTGCTAGGACCATCCCAGAACATTTTACTGCCCAAGACAGGGAACAAGTCTCCCTCAGCCAGAGGCCCATTATTACCTGAAGCCAGCCAAACTATTCTGCCACAGGAAGAAAAATCCCATAAGTACTTCTCCCCCACTTGTAGTAAACATACAAGAACAAGAAAGTAAATTACAATTGTGCTGCTTTCATTAGATCCACAATTTGTCTTCTGAGGCAGCCACTGGACTCTGCCTAACAGTAGAGTTGGCCTTGTATTAGGCCTTGAGGGGAAGAAACAAAATGCAAAAGGAAGGCACTAAGACCAGAAAGAAGACAGAATGATAAGCTCATTCCCAAAAGTGCCAGGTATGAAAATGTATTGCAATCCACCATGTTTCAGAACAATACGACCTTTCATCAAGGCAGTCTTAAGCTCTCCAATCCTTAAAACAGACTGAAACAGAAATAGCAGCTGTCTTTGTTGTACCCTGTAAATCTAACAGCTTTCTGCAAGCTATTTCACACTATTTTCAGAATCTGAATATATAACATTTCCCTTATTGAAGGATCCATGGTTTTGCAAATGTACACAGATACCATATACGTTCATTCATGTAAATTAACATTTCTTTCTGCCCTCCTTCTCAGGCACCTAGTACCATTTAAGACAAGGGCTCTGTCAATTAAGGCTTTCCCCATAACATTTTACAGATGTGGCTGATCGTGCTCCAGACCATTGGTAGACCAGGTTCACATACCTTCCCATCTTCATGGTAAAGGAAGATGTTGCGAGTCTTGTTATCTTTAAGATATGTGATCTGCAGGCCATTGGGGTTCCCTATCTTTTCGGGCTGGAACATGGCATTGATAGTGTCTATTTTAACAGCCCCTTTGGGTTCTTTTGCCTGAGGAGAAAATGCATTTTATTATGATTTAGGTATAATAATATAATGCATAGGCTGAGTTATTTCATTGATCATGTAGTTTTGTGTCCTCCCCACAACCTTAGTAGTGCCAAGTCCAGATAGGGGCCACTGCTACTTACCAGTGGGAAAGAATGGGAGGAGGGAGGCTATTCAGATAAGGAAGAAGCAGCTAGTCTCAGTTCTGAAGGGAAAGGAATGAGGGTGTGCTCACAAATAGCACTTTAGCAAGCACTTTACATTTCTATACCACTTCATAGTGCACAAAGCACTCTCTAAGAGGTTTACAATGTATGGGTGTCCCTCCACATTTTCAGTTTTGACTTTTGCAGATTTGACTATTTGCAGTTTTGATTAATATGTTCTCTCTAGGAATCTCTAGGTCCTCTAGTGCAATTCTGCCATAAGCTGACCATGGCATTGCTGGAGAACCTAGAAGTTCCTAGAGAAAACATTTCTCTAGGCCA